TTTTCCTACAACAACTCTGTGAAGCAGGTTAAGTATATTATTTTATAAGTGATAAATCTGAGGTTTTAAGAAGAATGGAGACTCTAGAAATGTTGAAAAAAGGTGACTGAAAAGCCATCAGTTTCTCCTGATCCGCAGGTGAACTTTCTCATCTTTAGAAAGTCTTTATGAGAATAGTTTATGCATTTAATCAGCATTTTCTTGGGGAAAATGAGAACAAAACAAGCAAACTCACAAAAATGATTCTTAACATCAGACCACACATATTTTCAGTTAGAATGAGAGCTATAGAGAATGTAAGATCTCATTATGTTTACTGCTTGATTAAAAAGAAGTACTTGATTTGGTAGAATAAAATCAGCTTACTTAAAGGCTCTCCTCCAACAAAATGCTTCCCTTATATGTGTTAGAACCTTTCAATATTCCTTAATACATGAAATCAGAGAAATTACTCAGGGATCCTCTGGTTACCATGAGAGAAGGATAAAACAAGGAGATGCCCAAGTATTACAGAAGATGTATGACACAGTCAAAATAGAAAAGGTACTCCCTTATAGAGAGTGAGGTGTTCCAGATACTCATGTTTCCTACTATAGGCAAATAGGTAGTGCAGTGGAAATAGGAACTTGGACTCTGGAAGGCCTGCTTCAAACAATTACTGGCACTCTGACCCATGGCAAGAAACAACCTCTCGGCCTTAGTTTCTTCATCTGTAAAATGAGAAGGTCCCTCTTGATGATATGTAACTCCCTGCCACCTCTAAATCTGTGATCTTATGAGCTACAGAACGAACAATGTGCTGATTGCACCAAAACATGAAAATACTGCAGGATCTCCTCAATAACATCCATAGCCACCTTGAAGAGAAGAGATTATTAACACACATGGGAAAAGCAAAGTAGATGAAGAATTCACATTACCCGCATTTTGAAACATAAATTGTATGGGCCTTACATGGAATTAATTCCTCAATGCATAGATCTTGGACAGGGTCTATCTGCAGACAAAGATAGGGGTGGGGAGCCTGTGGCTTCGAGGCCACATATGGCCTTCTAGGTCCTTGGGTGCAGCCTTTTGACTGAGTCCAAGTTTTACAGAACAAATCCTTTTATTAAGAGGATTTGTTCTGTGAGGTTTGGATCCAGTCAAAGGGCCGTATTTGAGGACCTAGAGGGCCACACATGGCCTCGAGGCTGCAGGTTCCCCACCTCTGGACTAATAGATAGGCCTAGAATTGAATACAAAGAAACCATTTTCAAAAATCCAAGTTTGCCACCAAAGTCCATATTTTTAACATCAACATTCTCTTGATCCTTCAACAAAGCTATACTTGGATGTCTCATCACAGCAGGGAAGTAATTCTGGGCTTTCAAAGGCAATGCCACAAGCTCTGGCCAATTTTACAACGCTAGAAGAGTTTTGAATATAGACCTGGAAATAGACTGTTTGCCTACCAAGGACAAACTTGAATAACATCACAAGAAATGAAAGTATCTACATTTCATAAGACAGGAAAAGACTGAAAATTAATGTGTCATCCCTAAATTAGGTGTCTTTGTCCAGTCATACCACTGACTTATTGGACCATAAGAATTAACAGAAAGAATAATTATGAGAAAAACATTTGGCATTCAGTTGAAACAATTTAATCTTGAACTATTTAAACAAGAAACTGATAAGGAAAAATGAGTAATGGCAGCAGAAATGACAATGGCATTGATTATAATAATTTCATAGAAAAGTTACACTGACGTAAGTTAAATGGAGACCAAAAGAGTCTAACAATCACCTTAATCAATAAAAACTGGACTTACTTGACAAACACAAAGAGGTAGTGACCAGAGGCAACACTGGTTTAGAATATAAATGAGTTTGTAAAATCTTATGAAAAAAGAAGATGGATGATTATGAACAGTATTGTTTCATAAAGCAGAGGGTAAAACCAGTTTAAAGAAAGCCTAGAAAGAAATCCAGCTAAGCACAGTCATCCCAAGGGCATTAAAGGATGAAAATTTAAGGAGGATAAGAAACAGAAGAAAATGGACAAGATGCACAAAAATGTATACTTGTGTATTGTATGCACACACATGTACACATATACGCACAATATACACAAAGCATTTAGTAAGCACTCACTATGCACCGGGTACTGTGCTAAATATTTTACAAACATTATTTCATTTGATCCTCACAAGAACCCTGGGAAGTAGGTGTTATTATTATGTCCATTTTACAGTTGAAGAAACATCTTGTTCAGGGTCATAAAGCTAGTAAGTACCTGAGGCCAAATTTCAACTCTGGTCTTCCTGTGTCGAGGCCCAGTTTTCTAACCACTGCACCACTGAGCCACTACAGTTTATTAATCAGAGGGGTAACATGGTCAGATCTGTATTTTAGGAAGATCACTAGGATAGCTAAGTGAAAGATGAACAGAACTGAGCAGAGACTTGTGGGAGGCACACTCACCAGCAGGCTATTGGAACAGTCCAGGCATGAAGTGAGGAGGTAGTGTACAAGGGTGGTGGCATGTCAGAGGAGAGAAGGAGGCACATATAAGGTAAAATGGACAGGCCTTGTCAACAGATTGGATATGGGGAATGAGGGATGGGAATCAAGAATGATAACTAGGTTGCAGGCCTTGGTGACTAGGAAGAGAGTGATGCCCTCAACAGCAATAGGGAAGAGTAGAAAGGGTTTTGGGAGAAAAATACTAACTTCAATTTTGGACATATTTAGTTGAATGGGACACGAACAAGTTAAGAGACCTTAAACTTTTTCTATTCATAGAGTCAGCCACCCCACCACCTGAATTCAAGCCCTTTTGGTCTTTCATCGGAATTATTTTAATAAACTTCTAATTGGATTCCCCAACTTGTTTCTCACTACTTTAGTACATCTTTCAAATAACTACTAAGTGTTTTTCATTAGACATAGTTCTTAACATATCTTCACTCAATAAACTCCAATAGCTCCCTATTATTTCTGGGACTAAAAATAAATTCCTTTGTTTGGAATTTAAAGCTCTTTACAATCTGGCCCCTTCCTATCTTTCCAGTATTTAAACACATTACTCCCTTTTACGTACATATTCTATGACCTATGATCTATGATCCAGTCACATCTGCTTACTTGCTATTCCTCATAAATGATGCTAATCTCCTTATCTGCAATGGCTGAACTCATGACTAGATGTTCTTTTTATTCACCTCTACCTCTTATAAGGTCTGGATTTCTTTAAGACTTAGCTCAAAGCAACAGTTCCTACAGGAGGACTTTTCTGGTTCCCCTAGATCAGGGGTTCAATTAACTTTTCTTGGGTCACTGGTAAAGCCTATTGACTTCTCAGAATAATGTTTTTAAATGACTAAAATAAAATACATGGGATTACAAAGGAAGCCAATCATATTGGAATACAGTTATCAAAATATTAAAAAACAAGTACACATATCCTAGGACAAGATCTGCTCTAGATGCTAGTGTTTTCTCTTCTAAGGTTTTTTCTACCTGTGTGTATCTTGTACATACTTATTTATATTTATGTTGTCTCCTCCCTTTAGAAGGTCAGCTCCTTGAGAGCAGGTGTCATTTTTGCTTTTTTCTTTGTATTCCTTAGAACAGGACTGGGCATATAGTAATCACTTAATAGCTGATTAATTCAACTACCTTTCTTTTTCCTAACACTAAAGGTTTAATCTCTTTAATATCTAATTTTAGGATTCTGCCAAGAGTTAAAGTTGCTTACTAGTCTACAATTTGTGGATTCTATTCTCTTCCCTTTTTTGGAAAACCATTGCTTTTCACCTTATTAATACTGAAAAAGAGTACACAAAAAACTAGTGATCTATAAACCCAGGAGGTCCAGTGACTTTTTCAAGTCACTATAGGTAGTACATAGCAGTGCAAGGATTTGGATCTGAGTTTTCTGACTCCAAATCCAGTTCTCTTTCTACTACTTAAAATTTCTCTCAGAAAGAGTCTGTATCTCTTACCCCTGGGTATTTAAATATAATTTAAAAGAGGTTTTTGAACAGAGACTTAAGGTGGTTTCATCATGGCAATATATAACTTACTATAAAGGAACATAATCAATAGTCAAGATTGATTAGTGTTTTCAAAATTCATTTCTTAAGACCAGAAATTTATGTAAACAAATCTAATATTTCATGATAGCCTAAGCAAATAATTTTAAAAGGCTCAACCAATTCTCTATTAAATTCATCTTTTAATTACCCTGTGTTCAAGCCTAATTTAGCAAACAATTCAAAATCTCAACTAGTTGAGTAATAGTTCTGAATTCCTTTACATTTTCTCTTAAAATTTTTGATAGAGCAAACATAAATGTAATACACCACCATTAGTAATGATGTGAAAACATAAATGTAATACAACACCATTAGTAATGACGTGAACTGAAATGTTAGAAAGCATGAATCAAAATGAAAAACAAACTCATCACTGACACAGGCATAGGTAAGGTTAATTTTCATTCAGGCACATTAATAGATTTCAAGTTCTAATTTCAAAATTCAAAGCAGATAGAAATATATGTGGCTAAAAAAATCTATTACCTACTTCTGCTAAGATCATACTTGGTTAGCATTTGAAAAGTTATTTTTGTGAAGTCATATATCAAAATGTAGCATCATAAATTGTTTTTTACAGAGAAACTTGGCAAAATAAGCAGCAGAAGTAAATCCTGCATAATGCCAGACAATTTTTTTTTTTTTTATTAAAGATAAGGCTTGTTGCAGGGTAGTTTGTGAGCACTAACACCTTACTTTGGGCTCCTATTATTAACCCATCTATGGCAGCCCTTCAGTTACAGTGAATGAAGACAGTAGAGCTCTATACTCTTGGAGTCCTTCATTAAACTATTGATCCTTTTAGCATTATCCATAATGTTCCAGCAGCTCAGCATGTCAACTGCGGCAGTGCTAGGCTCTCTTTGCTTTCAATAACTTCCACACTTTATGGAGAGGAAGTCACAATGATTTATTTACCTGACATTTTCCAGTCCGAATGTCGTACAGGGCCACTGAACCATGGCGAGCTCCAACTGCTATTCTGTGATTCCGTTCATAATAGCTGACCATGTAGAACCTGAATTGAACATTATAACAAGAAACAGGTGAAACTTGTCTTGCATGTGGAGAGGAATATTAACACATTTCAGTGATCAATTCTAATGACGATTTAAAAAATAAATACATGAATCCATTGCAATTAAGATTCTTTAGTAACTTTTAGAATCAACTGAAATCTAACAAAACATTATGATGTTGAATTCAATTTTGGCTTTTTGACAGTAATTTGAAAGATATGGGGTTTTAAACAGGTTGTTTTGAAACAAATCTCACAATTATTAATATATTTGAATAATGAAAAATAAAAACAGGTGAGATACCAGATTATTATATGAGAAGATATAGTCTTTTTATAGTAAATAATAATATCCACACATCTGAATTTGACCATGAATAGAAAGAATATTAAACCTTGAATTTTAGTTTCATTCTGTTATATTATAAAACAAAAATATTTTTATTGGATAGAATAACTGAAATAAAGCTGATTAAATTGGTCACATCTTTAAAAAATCAAACTTTGTAATAAAACAATATTTCATGTGTAATTTGAGTAGAGGAATCATGTAACTGTAGATAATATGCAGGCATAGTTTTTATCCTCTCAGACACTTGTAGAAGACCCTGACTAGGTCAGGTATGGTGTGGAATACCACAGCCACTGGTTTTCTCCCAGTGGCTTATGAGGAATTCAATAGAAGACTTCGGAAGAGAAGAAAGGCATAGTACCTCCCTCTTGGCCAAAGATAGTAGTCTAATCATTGAGTTAAGCTCAAATCCTGGTTGGTATTCAGTATGAGGCTAGCTTAGAATAGAAAGTTTAATTCCGGGTATTTCTAGTCAATTAACTGTTGAGCACCTGAATAATTTATAACTCTTTAGAATATATGTACAGATTTTAACCCTGTGCCTTGTAAGTAAATAATGTTTGCTTAAGTAATGATTGCACTTGGGATTGTGCACAGACTATGAATGCTCAGAGATTGGGGGCTTTCAATGGTAGAAAGACAATAGATAGTGGGTAACAGCTTGGGCAATTAGTGAGGAGAGAGGTTTCCTGGCCTAGGCATGACTGAAATTTGAATTCCTGAAACAACAAGTTTCTTTGTGTTTTTTCATAGGCTTGAATCAGATAACTTAAATTGACTTTTAAAATCTATCAACCTAAATAAAAAGTTATAATTTACAAAATTTTCCCATTTTCCTCATATTTACCATGTCATAAAATAAAATCAAAAGCTAATGCTTTTGATTATAAAATGAAGCAATATGGTATTAGTGATCTATGTCACTTTTAAATCTTATTATAATTGTTAACTATTTAGCTTTACATACAAATAAGCATTTTTTATTGCTTTTAGTTGGTTTTATTGTCAAGTCAGAATGATTTATTTTAGCTTTTGTTTACTCCTCTGTTTTTGGATCTTGGGCCCATATACATTTATGCTGATTTCCAAGACTAGATTAAATACTTCTATTCCTTAAACATATGATGGCAGCTTGCTTTGGTTATTTGCTGTTCAAATGACTGGAGTATGCACAGGTGAAAAGAAGGATGATGGTAAGATGACTGACTAAGGTTTGGGTTCCTATGCCAAATGATTTGCTAATGAGCCTTACCCATTCATTATCTATGTCAGATTTGCTTGATTGGGCATGATAGCCCATATGGTATGTCCATGAGTGACTTACATCAATGATATTAAATACCCCCCGCCTTTTTTAAAATTCAGTCCCCTTTCTTTTTTGGTTCTTCCTCCATCAATTTTCAATCTATTACACTACTTTAAATCTGAAGGTATTTTTAATATTTTCAAACATATAATTTAGAAGAGTTTGATAATTTCTGGCGTATCTTGATGACATTTATCCATGTTTGTGACAAAGTATTGTTTACTACCATATAACTAGTTGTACTCTATTGTGGTAACTCCAAAAATAAAACTAGTTTTTTTTTGAAACTTAACACATCCATTTTGTACATTACACTAAGAGTCCTAGAAAACTAAAGTGACAAGATGCATTTTAAAAATTTTACATAGACTTTATAACTAAGCTGTTAAAGTCATTTTGCAAAACATGATGTCAGTTACCTTTAAGAAAACAAACTAGTTAACTGTATTAATGTTGACCCAAATTGAATATAGAATTTTCTTACATTATTTTGTTTAATACACTCTGGAACCAATCTTATTCTGTCATATTATTTATAAATACCATTATGTATGGTTAAAAAAAAAGATCATATCTACTCTTGAAAGCAAATCTTAGTTCTTACGGAAAAAAATTTTACAGATCTATTTTTTCATGCTTTACAATTGACTTCAAAAGTAATACATGTATATTTTTGGATAAAATCCTTAAAGAATGCTAGGCACTGAAGACCTTAAGGCACAACTTTTGTATTTAAATCTCTAGCAAAATTTTCTACTCCTCTATCTGTTCTGAATTACTTTGCCTATTATATGGTTGGTTAGTACAATTTAACCTATGAGAAGGTACATAACTTTGATGTCTATTCATAATTGTCTGGTTGATAGGTATCTGCTTCCAGCTGAATGTGGAAAAAGGAACAAGAGAGATAAAAGAACTTGAAGTGAAGAAGAAGGAATTGTAAAGCAGGTCAGAGACTGAATCAGGGGAGAGGAAATTTGGGAGAACTTGAAACAAGATGAAGGGAGATGGAACAGAAAGATTTAATAAAGAGGAGGAAGACTAAACAGCACTCCACCTAGAGGCCAAGCCCTGCATTTGAATCTAGCTCTGCCACTTACTACCTGTGTGGTCATGGGTAAATCATTTCACCTCTCTGGGCCTCAGTTTCCTCATCTATAAAGCAAAGAGATTCGGACTAAAAGGCCTTTGAGGTTCCTACCAGCTCTGAATCTATGATTCTATGATCTGATAAGGAAAAAAAAAGGCAGGAGAAATGAAAGGACCAGAGAGGAAGCAGGAAGAGGATAAGGACTTGTGCTGAATGTGGACTACTGGAAGGGAGGAAGAGGATCATTCATAAAGATCAAATGATATCATAACGCAAGAAGTTAGTCAAAGGGAGTCAGGTGTGACTGTAAAGCGATGAAGAGGTACTAAAGAGCCTGTCAAGGTGTTAATGGGGAACTAAAAAATCAAGAGTAACAACTCAGTCACCAAGTATTTATTAAGCACTTACTATGTGCTATTCACTATGGTAAGCACTGGGAATATAAAGGAAAAACAAAAACAGTTCCTGCCCTCAAGGAGCTTACATTCTAACAAGGGAGACAACATGAATGTAAATAGGTACATATAAGCTATAAACAGTAGACTAAAGGTAACCTGACAGAGCGGACAGCATTAGCATCTAGGAGGAATTGGAAAGGCCTCCTGAAAAAGATGGGATTTCAGCTGAGTGTTGAAGGAAGTCAGGGAAACTAAGAGATGGTGGTAAGGGACAGAGCATCACAGACATAAAGAAGAATCAGGGCAAAGGCAGGAGCTGGGAGATGGAGTGACAGGTCTGAGGAACACTGAGAAGGCCAGAGTAGCTACACTGTAAAGTACATGGAGGAAAGTAAGGTATATGAAGACTGGAAAGGTAGGAAAGGGCCAGGCTGTTAATGAGCTTTAAATGTCAAAGAGTTTATATTTATTGGACCCTGGAGGTGGTTTGCAGTCACTGGAGAAGGGCTACTTTTTCATGTGAGACAAGGAAGAAGAAGACACTGGGGGAGAAAGCATCTGAGGGATGTGAGATGAAGATGAGGAGATAAGAGGAAGCTCTTCCTGAACAGCCTCAATTTTTTAAGGTAGGGCTCTTAGCATGGAGGGAAGAGTGGAAGAGTAGTGAGAGATCTGAGGAAAGACTCTCAATTAGGGAAATGTAAAAGGATTGCCTTGCTACAGTGATGGCTCAGTTGAGATTACTTAACACAAACCTGTAATGGACTCAACAGTTTCATGATTTTTTCCAGTTTCATTCAGCAGCATGTAAGAGCGAAAAGGCAGGAGATAGTGGGTGTCACCTAAGATAGAGGCTTGGAAGAGCAAGATCTTTTGGCAGGATAAGATGGTAAAGGACTTGAGGAAAAAGTAAAGTATAGAGTTGAACTGGTTCATCAAGGGGTGAAGTCAGGAAAGGAAAGAGAATGTAGCCAGTGTAGGGATGATAACTTAGGAAAGAAGTGAGGGGTGGGGAAACTAGAAGTCATGATGAGGATGAAGAACAGGGTTACGGGATGCAAGAAGAGGTAAATGACAATATATTATGATCAGATAAAGGTATTTCAGAGTTCATAAATATGAAACTGGAATACTTGTGGGTGATGGCAAGATCAAGGGGATGACCATCTCTGTCACCTCTGTAGTTGAGGTGAGGCTGAAGAGAATGTCATAGGAAATGAGTAAGCTGAGGAATTATGATATTAGGATGTTTAAAGGAGTATCAAAATGTATGCTGAAGTCCTTATATTTTGAGCACAGGAGTTGGGGAGAAGAGAAAGACAAAGTCTGAACCTAAACTCATTGAGAAAAAGGGACACTCCTGGAGGTTGGCAGAAAACAGGCACCAGAATCTTGACTGGATAATAAATATGGATTGAATGAACCTTAAAGAAGGAGAGGTTAACTGAATGATGGTAGTGGAGGGAAAGCCTCGAAGTGGAAAGGGTATTCCAACTCTCTCACTATAACCAGTAAGTTGGGCTATGAGTCAAGGTGCAATCTGTGCTGGAAAGTTAAAAGAAATGTCAATTCAAATATTTATTGAATGTCTATTATATACAGGCTTCTCTCTAAAGGGGCCACAAGAGGAGCTGCAGTCCAGTGCCTAGGTTAAGGGCTAAGAATGGTTAAAATGCCTTCCCCCGAGTTGGTGAGTTATTAAGTATCAGAGCAGAGATACTTGTTATACCATTGGTAATCCGTATCTCCTAACTACAAACTGAGTGAGTTTTCGCCTCTATCACATAGACTTTCAGTGATATGAAAGCATGGACACATCCTTTAATGACTGGAATATTAATTGTGCTAAAAGAT